CCCCCGTCAACGTCTAGACAGGGTTATTGTATTGTCTAGACGTGTTTTTGACGTCGTAGTAGCTTTTGTTTCGGCGCTCGAGTCTTTTAGGCCGTGTTAATAAGTGGGGCGGGATATAGGCGCAATTGACGCCGCGTGCAATACAGTGGGGCACGCATTTGTTCTTTGGCGCATGCAATCGGTTCGCTGAAATAAACCACCCGAATTGTTTACGGCTGAGAGCAAGTCAATCGAATTTGAACAAAAACAATGACGGGAAATGAACAAAAACAAACCGACAGCTGTCTTTGGTGCTTTTAATAATTTACGTGGAGAGACGACAGAGTAAGTCGGATGTTTTCAAAGGAATCATTTAATTCGGTAAAAACCAAATTCATCTTATTTTAAGTTATTTTGTCTTGGGTGAATAAAGCTATTTGTAAATGTTTACGAATCTCTGGCATCTGCGTATTATTGAAAGCTTCTCGTTAACGAATAAGAGAAGCCCTTCATTTATTTTAATTTTCCTATTTCTCTCTCCAACTCTTTTCTTGTCTTCATTAATTTTAAGGATGAGACATTACGGCGCAAAAACAGTCAATCCGATGCCCCGCTTTGCCACTAAACCATAGATCATTTAGTAAAATTAAGGTGGCGAAAAACTCGTTTACAATTTCACCAAGACGATCCGTGCAAATTTCATGTTTTCTTTACATTCACCTGTCAAATTTTTCTCTAAAATCCATCGAAGCTTGAATTATTCCATAACAACACTAATTATGTTTGTGATCTCTTCCAGACATCAGTAATTTAAATAAAACAGTGCCGTCTGCCCAGTCATTTTCACTGAGGCAGCAAACAAAGGAAGGGATTTCCACACGACATTAGCAAAGCCTCTCACTCGCTTTGTTCGTTACATTTTGTCTGACCGCACCGTTGCCATTTAGTTAGGAGCTTAAAATTGGATAGACTTTTTGTTAAAATTTAAAAAAAAGAAGCTAAAACGTGGTGTGATAATAAAAGCGTTCTACCTGTAAAATATTCTTTTGTCTTTTTATGTGAATTTTTGTTTTCGTTTTTTATTGTTTTTTTCTTTTCGCTCTTCAGCCGAAAACTTATTTGCTTCTGAACTTTCAAAATCCTTCTGGAACATATTGATACCAAGGCTAGTGTAACAATTGAAGTGGATCACTTTACTATGTGTTTGTATATATGCATATGTGTGTATCTATTTGAACTCACGCACGCACATATAGATATATCTCTATATATATATCTGTTCCATCCATTTGAAAACTGAACCATTTATTCCGCTAATGTTCAATACAGTGGCTGCAGTTATTGAACTGGAATTTCGGTGAGAAGAGAATATGCCAGCACCCTTGGTTTACAGACATGAACGCGAAAATGATCATTTGCGTGTATTACCGACCTGTTTTTTAAACCTTAAACCTCGTTACAGTTTAGTGAATAAACTTATAATTAAAGAGCTTCCTCGTTCTTCATTTTTCAAACCATCATGCATTGTCATAACTTGTTCTGTTGGCGAGCAACTTGCTTGAAACTAAAACTAGAACTGAACGGTGAATACTTCAACGGTTCAATTGCAAAAGAAATAGGTTTAGATCTGAGCTATTAGGTTTGTGATATATAGTTGGCTACCCCTCGCCGAATTCTCCGCAAAAATTTTTTTTTTTTAGTAGATGCAAGCCGTTCAAACAAATCAGTTATTAGAATGCACTTATAACTCTCCAAATCACCGTTGAATGCTCTAAAATAGCTCTTTCAGTAGACCACGACTGCCAAGTTGTTTTGCATATAAGCTATTTTGTGTCGTCTAAAATCCACTTCACAACTGAGATCTGCTTGAGATCCCGGCTGATGATAAGGAAACATTAATAAGGCCGGTCGTTCAATGATCAGATATTCTGACGCCTAGACCTCTCGAACGTAGCTTTAAGTCACGAAATCAGGAAAGCAGTTGTCGTGGAGAAACTGGCGCAAGTTGTTGTGAACCATCGTAATAGCTCGCATGCGAATGGTACAGAGCTAATAGATTTTCAGCTTTAGGTTCGAAGATCGTAAAAAAAAATATGCTATAGTGAGGCGATTTTTGTATCTGTTTTGGTGCGGTGAACAGTAAGAAATTTCAGTTTAAAAGGTGTACATTTTATTGGCATATGCTTAATTAAATAAATTACTAGCGAACGTCGCTTATCAAAAATTGTCTCGTTCATCAATAAATTTTGAACATTGTTTATTAGCCATAGGGTTTGATCTAATGCCTATGATTTCTTACCCACCGGTACAATTTTTGATACGATCTATCAGCAGTATGTTGATGGAAAAGGGATCACCAGCATTTTGGAGGTACGGCTTTTGTCGGAATTTATTATTGTATTAGCGTAGCTAGGATTTAGTGGTTGGTGCATGTCGGAAGTTAATTCGGTAATCGATGACTAGCCGTCAGGAAATAATATGGACCTTTTAATATCGCGTCCTTACTATTTTTTTTTTCAAACAGCTTTCACATTTTATCGACAATACATTGTCCTTTTTGTTATCTCAGAGAGCCAGAAGAGAACGGGTCATCAAAGATCGAATATTCCTGAAGTGCTGTGTGTGAAATAGACATTTTGTGTCCGTCGCTAGTCAGAGGGGAAATTAGTTAGTGAATTTTGAAGCCTGTGCCTTCTTCCCGGGGATATAAATCTCGCAGAAATGTTATATCGTGAAACTCTCGAAAAATAATTTGTAGACCTTAAACCGAACGATCGAAAAACCGCGTGCTGTATTGAGGTGTCGCGTATTTGTTTTTTCTTCTTTTCCTCTGTTCATGTTCAAATTTCCTGTCAGGTGATAACTAAGGAAGGGTTGTCGAGACTTGACAACCAGTTAGACCTGTTACATTAAAATTAATGAATTTTAAACATGTGAATTTCTAAACTTGAAAAACCACATGAAATGTCTGGATTCTCTTTTACTTTGTTCTGCTTTTTGCAAAACTTATGCGTCGATCAAATGGAAGCTTCGACATCCCTTCCCCGGGCATTTGAACTTCTGCAGATTGTTTCATTCAAATTCTCGTCCCTTGAGGCCAAAATTGTGTTCAAATGCCCTACTCAACTGCCAGATTTGACGTCCAATTTTTCTGTAAAAGGCAAAATCAGCGACCATGACTGTCTACTCATATACCAAGCTTTAAAACTTAGAACTTGTATAACTTTTCTTCCGTGTCACTCACTCGCGAAAGTGAACTCTTTACCTTAAACACCCACACATTTAACGATTTAACACGTGTATTCCGCTGAAGAGACTTAAAACTTTCGGTTCAAATTCCCCACTCCACCCCAGACAGGCAAGGTACAGACGCAAATCAAATGCCCGTGGGTCGCTTTGGAAGATGTTGAAGCTTCGAATTGATTGGCGCATTACTCTGTGGGCTGAAAAATATCATTTATGCAACGAGGGATGGCTGGGGAGGTGAAGAACGCAAAGGCATGAGGAATAGAGACGACAAGGGCGATTTATGGCTAATTAGTTCCCAACCTTTCGTGAGTTGTGCCACCTTCACTTGTGCCCTAAGATTGACGGTTGTTGCTAAAATGTAGAGCAGTGTTAATCATTCGTTTCCGTTGTTTAAAATCCTCGCACATGGGTCGCATCCAGTAGCAGGAAGCTTTAGTGATTAAAGCCATGAAGAGTTCTTGAAGCTCATCCAAGTTGTGTTATTTCTTTCTGCTGTTCTGCAATGCGGAAGGGAATAATACTAGAAACAAATGGCGGGTGGTGGTGCATATAAGAAAACAATGTTCTGAACACCTGATAGGAAAAGAATGAGGCCCGACGGGTAGCACGGGGCCGATCCAACTGTCGGAATACAGTAACACCTCATGCGTCGCTTTACGCTAAAATGGACCAAATGACTATTAACAACGACGTTGTTTTTTATATAAGTTACCAAAATAAAATTTTTGTCGATGGATGGAAGGGGGTGCTTTAGAGAACTTCAGCTTGATCTACGTATTCTGTGACAAATCCCTTTCGCCTTTCTTTTCATCCCCCTATTTTTTTTGTTTTTTGTTTTTATTATTATTTTTTGATAAAACGTGTTAACAGGAAGGAAATTTAGCAAAGTGAATTTTATGTTACTGATATATGTCAGTAAAATGAGGAGTATGCTCCATGAAGAGACGTCATAATTTTTATCTCTGCTTTGAAAAAGTATGTGGAGCAATTTACATTTCACTGCATTTTGAGATTCCAGATATTAACCTAACCTTTCGGAAATCGTCATCCAAATTAGTGTGCCAAACACTCATTCATAGACACTGTAATTTCGGAAACAACTCCACGCGGTTCAAAAAGTACTGCTGCTCTGGCTATTGAGAATCAATACAATAAATAATCAACATGGTGAAGAATGCCTAAGAGATCGCTAAGAAATAGAAGAAGGAAACAAAAACCTTGATATGTCGTGGGAAAGCGAGAGCCTTGCTGCTCACAGGATCCGGAGTTGAATTTTTTTTTGTAAATTAGAAGAAAACTTTCGAACCTTCAGGTAACCCTTTGGAATCTTAAAAGGCGGTCAGTGTCATCATTCTACATACACTTGTGATAGTAGAAGATAAATGTTGCATATTTCCTAGACCATACTGTTGCAAGCTATATTTTCGTTTAGGCATGAGACATGAGCTGGCGTGACATTAAATTTTTGTCCAAGCGAGAGAGTTGGAATAATAATAATAATGTTTCATGGGGAACTCATACTCAGTCTCTTAGGTTGTTGTAGGTTAAGTAAATGTAACGCAAATTTTGGTAAATTTTTAAAACGAAAGTTGAAAATTCAAAGTTTCATTAAATCTTGACATCTTCACCCTATCATTATGGAAAGGTAAATTTTATACTGATAACTTATAAATGAAACTTTTGGCCGGTGTAATGTTCGCGAATCTTTAGTGCTCCTGCGCTTTTTTCCCGCGTTCCCGCGAATAAATTTCACGAGGACTGGAAACTTGTAAGAAAATACAACATGGCGGATCATGATGGTTATTGGAGAAAATCGACCTTCACATATTTTGTGGATTTAAAAGCATGGTTACCCACGTCTATGTTGTCATATTTGAATGGAAATCAAAGGGTTTCAATGGCTGCAAAACCCGCCTTAAGCTAGCAATAACAGTAAGTCATTTGGACATGCACAGCTTGGCGAAGATAACCTGCCACGTAGTCAACGCGGTAGAAGTAAGGTAACTTCTTGACCTGTTTTTAAGAATATTTCGTTTTCATTATAATATTTTGGCTGCCTTTTCTCGATTTAATGACCGGCAGATCTATGAGGCTGCTCAACCATGGGTTAATGTACATTATTATTCTTAAAATGCCTAAGTGCAGGACATTCAAATTTATATTAGACTCTGAGCACAGTGGCTATGTTTTGATCAGTAATTCTAAATTTGACTTGCGTTTCGTAACAGCAAGGGTGAATGCAGTCCTGTCAACAACAAATCAAATAAAACACCACATTGACAAGGCACTCTTGTAACAAACTGTGTAGTGAAGGTCATTTCTCAAGATTCTGGGAGAATTTTATTTTGTGTACATGTAGATGATGAAAGATATTTTTATGTGCTTGCAAATTGGTCAAGATGTGGATCATATTTTTCTACTTCAAAATTAGATTAAGAGCTTGAAATTGCCACAGCGTGATAGTTGCTAAAGGTAAAGCCAGAATCAACTATCACATGTTGAAATTAAAAACAAATAATCTTATTTTGTTCAGTAAAAAGCTGTCAGTGGTTCAAAACTTAACAAAAAGACAAGCTCGTGTTTTTATTTCATTTTTGCTTGAAACCACATAATGTTGCAAGCAATCACTTTACACACTGTTTGTCAAGGAATAGATAGCAAGTAGCACAGCCAATCACATTGTAGCACCTGTGATACAATTATCTCCAGCAGATTGGCACTAAAATAAATTAGGGAGGGGTGGCTGTTACACTAAGGCACTAATTATCAAGAGAGCTGTTCAGGGATTGATGTTTCTCAAGAGGAAACAAGTAAAGCTTAAGGTTACTGCCAGCCTTTAGGTGTCAATTTATGGGGGTAAAGATGTGTTCATCAGGGCCAGAGGGAGACTCTTATCATGAGCAGATGTCCAAAATGGATAACTCTTTGTAGGGGCTTTCCTTACTTTTTTTCTTCATGCTTCTTTAAAGATTTCATACAAAGAAGCTGCAATGCAGAACTTTGTCTCTTGCCTGTTTGAAAATAAAAGTTTTATTGTGTGAAAAGAGTAGCAGTATGCTGTCAAAATGTTGCAATCTACATCAGAATTGACAACATTGTGAAACAAACAAGAATACTTCATTTCTGATAAGTGCATTTACTCTGGGCAGAATTTGTGGAAAATTGAATGAACTTTGTGCCTTTTACAATTTATTCATAGGAAGGACTGATGGAATATTAAGGAATTGTTATCTCTTTCACCATTCATTTGGCAAAAATGTTAATTGGGTTTATCAGTCTTGATTCAGAATTTTGGCTAATGACACTTTTTCCTCTTTCCCACACAGGAAATCTATATTAATAGATAGTTTTTTTAACACCTCATTTCATGGTAGTCCTGAAGTCAGGACCAGAACATTGAGGTCTGGCTAATCCCATGCGTTCGAAAAGCTTAAAGAGGGATTTTGATAGAGGAAGTAAATGTAATAATGTGTACCTTCCATGAAACTTTCTGGCACATTTAGAACCATGTGACCAGTCATGTAATTTAATATCATATCCAAAGTAATGACATTAACTTTTGCTGAGGATCAGATGTGACTTTGCCAGTTCAAGACAAAATATGCACTTAAAATACATCACTGCAAAATAGAATGGCTTTAAAAAATGTCATTGTTATTTTCATGTTAAGCTACAGATTGTCACACCAAAACATTGTTGTACCTCAAAACCTCTTCCACAAATCAACTTCACAAACTACCTAGTGTGAATTGGCTGCCATTCTTGATTTAAACCCTGCATTTAACCTCCAATCCTGTAACACATGGGTTGTGCAAAACCTCAATTTTCCAGTCCTGGATCCTGTTTCTCAAAAGTTCCAATAACCAAACAGACCTGAACCCTTACTTTAGAATCAAAATGTTAGCAATAAAGAAGCAGGTTCTGGCACCCCTACCTGACCATTTTGTTTCCTCAGATGATAGTTTAATTTTAATAGTTTTCAAACCTTTTTACACCCTCATCATCATTTTGAATGAAAACTGATCAGCTTTACGGCCCATTAAGTTTCCAGAACCTTTGATAAAGTGACCCCTGGGTTCAGGACTAAACCATTGTAGTTATGATCATTATTGTTTAGCGCATAACCCTTGAACTCCCAGAAGTGATTAACATGGAATTTCTCCCTATTATACCCATACATTGTCCTGCAAAAAGGTGATGAGAAAACTCCAACTTATCAGGTAGAAGTTGTTATCTTGATCTAACACTAAATTCTCTTAACTGATTTACAAGGAAATGTGCAGCAGCTAGAGGGGAGAATTAACAATCAGATCTTTTAATTAAAGGGTTAGGAACACTATATATTATTATCTAAGTGTCTAAGTGTGTCAAGGTTCAATTTAATTATTTTTTTCCTGAGTGTAAGAGACAATTTGCCATCAGTTATTAAGTAAGAAAACAGTTGATCAATCAAACAGTCAGTCAATTAATTAATGGATCCAAAAAGGAAAAAAAAAGTAAAGGAAGGGGAAAATTGGCTCTAATTTTTTGGGAATAGTTGAAATTTTAGCTTGTAAATAAGGATCTTCTCCTCTACACCACTTCCAACTCATTTTTCATGCCAATTTATTAGCTCATTTTGACTGGTCATGTATTTGTTTTTAGAAAAAGTCAGTTCCATACCCCTTAAAAGTTGTTTAATGGCATGCCTTCATTATTTCACAAAATATCAACAAGTCTTGCACTAAGTATTTGCAATAAATAATAAATGTTGGCAAGGTTTCCTTGTAGAAAACTGAATTAAATATGTCAAATTCTTGATACGCTTAACTACCTCATGGAACAGAAAATTACCCATTTCTTTCCCTTTCGCTAACACGTCTGATTAAAATTATATTTTAAAGAATAGGAAAAAATGTGGTTTGTAAGTGGAATAAATACACACCTTTTAAGTGACTTTCAGCACTAATTATATATTCAGTTTAATTCCTTTTTTGTTCTACTTAATGCAAAAAAAAAAAATCGAATTTATGTTGTCACCTGGAATTAGCGTGCGAATGTAAACTCTATCAAAACGGCTGCTCGCCTTTGTTAAATTCCTTTGTGATAAAAATGTCTGGAAATCAGTTTTAACTCGTTAATATGGTATAATATATGTTTCATTAAATATTAAATGGAGTTATTTGTCAAATGTGTCAACTTTCTATACTCAACTTGTGTCTTCCAGTTGATCAGTGGTTTATGATGAGATTGCAGTCACGGATGAATTGTTAGTGATGTGAAAGAAATGATATAAATGATGTACATGTACTCATGTCAGGTGAGAAAGCTCTTTATCATACTTTTCATTTCTTTCAAAGAAACCAATTTCTTATTAAGGAGCTTAAGCAGTCAGAACGGAAACCCCAAGTAAAACGACGATTGAAAAATGAATTTATATTAATTTAAGGAATTTCGTCCTCTAGAGCGCCACAATTTAAACCTCAACATTACATATATATGTATATAAGAGCAGCGCAGAGTTCCAAATACAAATGCTATTAATTCATGCCGGGATCCCTGTTTTCTGACCATAAAAATTATTGTGATTTCACGTTATTGTTTTGCAGAGGAAGGTTAGAAATGTACGATGTTTCAAAACGCACATGTTAGCCATTGTTCCGCTCATTAGTTCTTTTGTTTTGCTACGTTCTCGTTGCGATCACTGTCGTGGTTTGCTGTGGTTGCCTGTTGAGTTTTCCCGTCATCGTATTCCCTTTGAGAATTACTGCTAGAATTTGTCGTTGAGTTATGTCTTACTGGCCAGAATTTAAGCCAGTGAAATTACGACCTTTCAGTTCGTGAGTAGATTATCCTATTGTGACCCATGAAAAAAGTCAGAGAAGAAGTTCGGTGAAATCGCAGAAAGGTGACAAAACCTCTCGATTTTCTTTGATTAGATTCCTGTAACTTTTTAAACCTTTTTGCCTCAACCAGTCTTTGCTTCAATGTTTTGTCTAACCCAAATTATCGAACTGAAGTGACTCAGTAAGGTTACGTCAATAATGTTTGAAATATTTTGTTAGAGCTTTTCTTGTTGCGATGCAATTCAGTTCTCGTTTAAAATATAAGGTGTAAAGTACAAATTCAGTGGCAAGAGTTAAAACCACACCATCCGGCGACAAGAAAAAAGGAAAATAAAGTGAAATAAACTGTCCATTCTTTTCCTCCAAGGTGTTCAGAAGCAGATTTTTAAGATTTATTTTGAGATTACGTTTTTCTTGTGTTTTGATGTCGTTGTTTTTTTTTTAACATAATAAGTAAAAATCAAAAGCCGAGAATTGATTTGACAAACCATTGTCTTTTCTTTAATTTTCAGAAGTTGGTTGCACACTCAAAGTAAAAACGAAATGCGAGAAAAGAATGCCCATGCTGTTCCTCCAGTGAAAGGTCGTTATTGCATTGAGCAAGCAATTATGATTTTAATTTGTTTGCCATACAGCCTGCAGCCTCTTGCCTAGTCAATGTTTTCGTCTGGAGCTCGATGAAACACGAGCACTCTCTCGGTGCTTATTTTTATTGTTGCATACGAGGCTGCAAACACTTGAGCAGTGCGTGCATTGAATCTGTGGTTTCGTTGTGAATATTTATTTTTATTTATAGCTAGTTGAATATGACCGAATAAGGCGCTTAATTGTGTCTGTGTCAGATGGCAAGATGAAGTTATGAAGAAATGAAAAGGCCTCAGGTATTATTAAACGTGGAGAGGAAGGAGAAAGTCGCGAAAATCGAGGGTCAATCCGCCACCGTCCCCCACCACGCCCACCTCTAATAGACAGTTTGTTAGGTTTGTATAAATGTTGTCTACCTTGTGGTAGCAACATTTATTTGTAATATTTGTCTGAATACACATGCGTATTACAAGATGGTGTTGTTACCACAAGGTAGACAATTTTTATACAAACTTAAAAAACTGTCTATTAGAGGTGGGCGTGGTGGGGGACGGTGGCGGATCGACCCCCAATTCTTTCGCCTACTACAGTTGACATTGGTCCTTGGTCTCTTTCTTCATACCAATCTTTTTCGTGAAATCTATGAGAAGAATAAGATAGGACTTTAAATGAACCCCCAATTCTGTCAATTACAAACACGATTTCACAAGTTTGTTTCATTTAAAAGTACAACATGGCAACACCCGCCTGAATATCAAATACTCCCATCTCCCTAAACCTGCTTTGTATTTTAGAATCCTTACATTTTCTGGAACAGGACATGTACGCGATAAATATGCACATAATTTACAAGGAAATACACCTAAATAAAGTAGTGTAAAAAGTTTTTGTGCACGTTTTTCACTTTACTTGACATTGAGAAGGAAAGGTGGGCAAAACATGGGGTAGATCAATCCTACTGATGCGCGAAACACTAACGTATAAAATACAACAATCCATCAAAAGAGATCCCTAACAGTGTGCAAGATACTCACGCAACAATTAATCAAAAGAGAATCCTAACAGTGCGCGAGATTCAAATGTAACGATCCATCAAAAGAGAATCCTAACAGTGCGTGAGATACTAACGAAACATTTGAACAATACGGAATCCTAACAGTGCGCGAGATTCAAATGTAACAATCCACCAAAAGAGAATCCTAACAGTGCACAAGATACTTACATAGCAATCAATCAAAAGAGAATCCTACGTGACAGTGCGTGAGATACTAACATAACAATCCATCAAAAGAGAATCCTAGCAGTGCGCGAGATACTAACGCAACGATCAATGGAAGAAAAATCTCAACAGTGCTCGAGATACTAACGTAACAGTCCATCAAAAGAGTATCCTAACAGTTTCCGAGACACGAACGCAAAAATCAATATATAAGAGAATCCTAACAGTGCACTAGATTCAAACGTAACAATCCACCAAAAGAGAATCTGAACAGTGCGCAAGATACTAACGTAACAATTTATCATTAGGGAATCCTAACAGTGTGCGAGACACTAACGTAACAGTCCACAAAAAGAGAATCCTGATTGTATACGAGATACAAACGCAACAATCAATCAAAAGAAAATCCTAACAGTGCGCGAGATTCAAACGTAGCAATCCATTAAAAAAGAATCCTAACAGTGCGCGAGATACTAGCGTAACAATTAATCAAAAGAGAATCCTACGTGACAGTGCGTGAGATACTGACATAACAATCCATCAAAAGAGAATCCTAACAGTGAACAAGATACTAACGTAACAATTCATGAAACCAGGCTCCTACCAGTGCGCGAGATACTCACGTAACAATTAATCAAAAGAGAATCCTAACAGTGTGCGAGATACTAACGTAACAATCAATCAAAAGAGAATCCTAACAGTGCGCGAGATACTCACGTAACAATTAATCAAAAGAGAATCCTAACAGTGTGCGAGATACTAACGTAACAATCAATCAAAGGAGAATGTCAACAGTGCGCGAGATACTAACGTAACAATCCACCAAAAGAGAGGTAACAGTGCACAAGATACTAACGTAACAATTCATGAAAACAGGCTCCTGACAATGTGCGAGACACTTACGTAACAATCCACCACAGAGAATCCTTACAGTGCACAAGATACTAATGCAACAATCAATCGAAAGAGAATCCTAACAGTGCGCTAGATACCAACGCAACAATCAACCAAAGGATGTAAACAGTGCGCGAGATACTAACACAACAATCCACAAAAAGAGAATCCTGATAGTGTGCGAGATAAAAACGCAACAATCAATAAAAAGAGGATCTTAACAGTGCCTGAGATACAAACGTAACAACCCATTAAATAAGAATCCTAAGAGTGCGCGAGATACTAACGTAACAATCGATCAAAAGAGAATCCTAACAGTGCGCGAGATACTAACGTAACAATCAATCAAAAGAGGATCTTAACAGTACCTGAGATACAAACGTAACAACCCATTAAATAAGAATCCTAGCAGTGCGCGAGATACTAACGTAACAATCAATCAAAAGAGAATCCTAACAGTGTGCGAGATATTAACGTAACAATCAATTAAAAGAGAATCCTAACAGTGCGCGAGATACTAACGTAACAACTAATCAAAAGAGAATCCTTACAATGCGAGAGATACTAACGTAACAATCAATCAAAAGAGAATCCTTACAATGCGGAAGATACTAACGTAACAATCAATAAAAAGAGAATCCTAACAGTGCACGAGATACTAACGTAACAACTAATCAAAAGAGAATCCTAACAGTGCACGAGATACTAACGTAACAACTAATCAAAAGAGAATCCTAACAGTGCGCGAGATACTCACGTAACAATCAATCAAAAGAGAATCCTAACAGTGCGCGAGATACTAACGTAACAACTAATCAAAAGAGAATCCTAACAGTGCACAAGATACTAATGCAACAATGAATCGAAATAGAATCCTAACAGAGCGCTGGATACCAACGCAACAATCAATCAAAGAATGTAAACAGTGCGCGAGATACTAACACAACAATCCACAAAAAGAGAATCCTGATAGTGTGCGAGATACAAACGCAACAATCAATCAAAAGAGGATCTTAACAGTACCTGAGATACAAACGTAACAACCCATTAAATAAGAATCCTAACAGTGCGCGAGATACTAACGTAAAAATCAATCAAAAGAGAATCCTAACAGTGCGCGAAATACTCACGTAACAATCAATTAAAAGAGAATCCTTACAGTTCACGACATACTAACGTAACAATCAATCAAAAGAGATTCCTAACAGTGCACGAGATACTAACGTAACAATCAATCAAAACAGAATCCTAACAGTGCGCGAGATACTCACGTAACAGTTAATCAAGAGAATCCTAACAGTGCACGAGATACTCACGTAACAAATAATCAAAAGAGAATCCTAACAGTGCGCGAGATACTCACGTAACAAATAATCAAAAGAGAATCCTAACACTACGCGAGATACTAACGTAACAATCAATTAAAAGAGAATCCTTACAATGCGCGAGATACTAACGTAACAATCAATCAAAAGAGAATCCTAACAGTGCGCGAGATACTAACGTAACAATTAATCAAAAGAGAATCCTAACAGTGCGCGAGATACTAACGTAACAACTAATCAAAAGAGAATCCTAACAGTGCGCGAGATACTAACGTTACAATTAATCAAAATAGAATCCTAACAGTGCGCGAGATACTAACGTAACAATCAATCAAAAGAGAATCCTAACAGTGCACGAGATACTAACGTAACAATCAATCAAAAGAGAATCCTAACAGTGCGCGAAATACTCACGTAACAATCAATTAAAAGAGAATCCTTACAGTTCACGAGATACTAACGTAACAATCAATCAAAACAGAATCCTAACAGTGCGCGAGATACTCACCTAACAGTTAATAAAGAGAATCCTAACAGTGCGCGAGATACTCACGTAACAAATAATCAAAAGAGAATCCTAACAGTGCGCGAAATACTAACGTAACAAATAATCAAAGGAGAATCCTAACAGTGCGCGAGATACTAACGTAACAACTAATCAAAAGAGAATCCTAACAGTGCGCGAGATACTAACGTAACAATTAATCAAAAGAGAATCCTAACAGTGCACGAGATACTAACGTAACAATTAATCAAAAGAGAATCCTAACAGTGCACGAGATACTAACGTAACAATCAATCAAAAGAGAATCCTAACAGTGCGCGAGATACTAACGTAACAATCAATTAAAAGAGAATCCTAACAGTGCGCGAGATGCTCACGTAACAGTTAATCAAGAGAATCCTAACAGTGCGCGAGATATTCACGTAACAAATAATCAAAAGAGAATCCTAACAGGGCGCGAAATACTAACGTAACAAATAATCAAAAGAGAATCCTAACAGTGCGCGAGATACTAACGTAACAATAAATCAAAAGAGAATCCTAACAGTGCGCGAAATACTAACGTAACAAATAATCAAAGGAGAATCCTAACAGTGCGCGAGATACTAACGTAACAACTAATCAAAAGAGAATCCTAACAGTGCGCGAGATACTAACGTTACAATTAATCAAAATAGAATCCTAACAGTGCGCGAGATACTAACGTAACAATCAATCAAAAGAGAATCCTAACAGTGCACGAAATAATAACGTAACAATCAATCAAAAGAGAATCCTAACAGTGCGCGAGATACTAACGTAACAATTAATTAAAAGAGAATCTTAACAGTGCGCGAGATACTAACGTAACAATCAATTAAAAGAGAATCCTAACAGTGCGCGAAATACTAACGTAACAATCAATCAAAAGAGAATCCTAACAGTGCGCGAAATACTAACGTAACAATCAATAAAAAGAGAGTCCTAACAGTTCACGAGATACTAACGTAACAATCAATCAAAAGAGAATCCTAACAGTGCGCGAGATACTGACGTAACAATTAATCAAAAGAGAATCCTAACAGTACGCGAGATACTAACGTAACAATCAATCAAAAGAGAATCCTAACAGTGCGCGAAATACTAACGTAACAATCAATCAAAAGAGAATCCTAACAGTGCGCGAGATACTAACGTAACAATTCATCACGAGAATCCTAACAGTACGCGAGATATTAACGTAACAATCAATCAAAAGAGAATCCTAACAGTGCGCGAGATACTAACGTAACAATCAATCAAAAGAGAATCCTTACAGTGCGCGAGATACTAACGTAACAATCAATCAAAAGAGAATCCTAACAGTGCGCGAAATACTAACGTAACAATCAATCAAAAGAGAATCCTAACAGTT